CCCAAAGACCAGTATTAACCTCATCTTCAAAATCTCATCTTCAAAGTAAAGGAAGGAAATCTAGATTGCCCACTTCTTTTCCAGCATTGGGTTTCCCTGTAACACTTATTATATTTCATTGGACGAAAAGCAGGCTAAGGATTCCTGTAGGACCTATCTATTTTTCCAAATTATCCCCCTCCCCGAAATTTATATAAGCAGGAACAAAATTTCATCACAGATGACAAAAGCTTGGCTCCATTACACCACCAACAAATGATATAACAGAAGAAAACAAAATAGACATTACATAATTTTTCTTTGTGCAACATTCGAAGAGCTAGACAGCAACATAAGTCCCTTTACAGAAAATTCTGATTCTGCAGTTCAGAAATAAGAAAAGAACTTACATGTAAATACAATAAGCCCCTCAAATTATTATCAATGATACTTAAATTTCAACAAGGGGGGGTGTAGGTCTTATTAAGCACTGCCATGAGAAAAAATCAAAATGGAAAGCACACTGTAAGAGCCCAAGCATAAAAACAATGATTAAATCATTAGCACCCACGAATTTTTAACAAGCAAACGCACAAAAAAGCACAGATGAGAATGCAAATTTATACAACAAAAACTGACACTGTATACAACCTTCTCAAGTCTTTCTAGACAGACAAAGTATGCACTGCATCTGATATCACAGTTATTGTACAGGGCAGGAGAAAACAATAGCTGTCCTTAAGCTCTACATCACAAAGTCTATGAACAAAAACCAGTCTCGAGTCTCAGCACACACGCAAAGCACACACTTGATGCACGCTACAATGACTACACTCAACCACTAAAGCAGACATTTCTTCTCAACAAGCCTTTGCTTAATTATTTGAATTGAAAAGAAACACCAAAAAAATCAGAGTAATGTCCATTTAGTGCTGGGAAAATGTAGGACAGACGGAAACAAAAGAGGGACATTATGAATATGATGTACAAACACAAAAAACAGTAATGTTCGTATAGTGCTGGGAAAACACAGGACAGACAGACAGACAGACAGAAACAAAAGAGGGACAGTATGAACTACAAACACAAAAAACAGAGTAATGTTCATTTAGTGCTGGGAAAACGCAGGACAGACAGACAGACAGACAGACAGACAGACGGAAACAAAAAAGGGACAGTATGAACTGCAAACACAAAAAAACAGTAATGTTCATTTAGTGCTGGGAAAACGCAGGACAGACAGACAGACAGACAGAAACAAAAGAAGGATATAATGATGTACAAACACAAAAAACAGTAATGTTCATTTAGTGCTGCGCTGGGAAAACGCAGGACAGACAGACAGAAACAAAAGAGGGACAGTATGAACTTACTACAAACACAAAAAAACAGAGTAATGTTCATTTAGTGTTGGGAACACACAGGACAAACAGACAAACGGACAGACAGCCAAACAGACAGAAACAAAAGAGGGATAGTATGAACTACCACTACCAGTGGCCCCTCAAACTACCCGCTTCACAATCTCTTTAGTATTAACAGTATGATGCATGTATAATCACAAAGAATGTCTCGCCAAGGCTAGTCACACTCAAATAATGGAACCTGGTCCCTTCCAAACTAACACCAGCAATTTAGACCCTTAACCACAAACATGAGTTAGCATCGGAGTCATGTTATGAATACACGTACTTTAGACAACAGATCGTGATTCTAATGATGCATACACTTTCAACTTTTAGGTTGACATCCTATTGCAAACTATTTTTTGACAATTCCAAGGTAGTCTGCAGCTATTGACTTTATCCCCATTTCAACTTCAGGGTTTCTAATTTCAGTTTTTTTTGTTAAATATGGCATGGGCCAAAACTTATAAACTACATCATGTTTTCAATAAGGAATAAACTAATACAATAACATTCATGAACAAATGATTATGAACTGTAATGAAAATATACACAACTTGCTAGAATGATGAACAGTGATGAAATAGCTGACGCAAAAAAGCAACCATTTGCCTGTGCTTACCTTCATACAGCCATTCATTCATTCATATTTTCATGAAGCTGTACCCATATGCCCCTTCATCGAGTCCTTCATACTCGTAAATATCGACACACAGAATATCGACACACAGCTATCATGCCACACATTCTCACAAGTTTCCCTCACTTCTATGGCCAGACAACACTGTTATTTCATTCATATTATAATTAAAGTATTATTCTATTACTTCAAAATATTATTCTATTACTGCTCTGGCCCTCGCAGCATTACAAGAGCACACCTTCCCTGACCGTGCCTTCTGAGGGACATCAGCACTCAGTAGATACCAGTTTAGTTTTAGTAGAAGGTTTTACGGTGCTCGCAACTGCATAAGGTCATATGAGCGCCAAGTAGATACCAGTAAGTGAAAAGATACTGATGCAGGTTGTGTTTTAGTTTTAGTAAGTGTTTTACGGCACTTGCAACACAATAAGGTCATACAAATGCTGAAGATTAGAGGTGTTACAAGAGAGTAACAAACACAAAAAAGAAGGAGAGGAGATAAGGACAATAGATGTTTGATAGGAAACAAGGAGCAAAACACACCAGAACATCCGCCAACCACCAACATGATGGAGGTTGTGGACATACCCCAATCTCCCACTGTCTGAGTTCCTGTACACAATGTCCTCTATGAAGCAGAACTATAAAATAAGCAGAGTGCTCTCCGACAACGTGCACACTAGAGTTAACTTCAGTCTGAGTAAAGATTAGTTTTAGTAGAGGTTTTACAGCGCTCGCAACTGCATAAGGTCATATGAGCGCCAGAAGATTAGAGGTGTTACAAGAGAGTAACACATAAAAAAAGAAGAAAGGGGAGATTAGGACGATAGGTGTTTGATAGGAAAGAAGAAGCAAACCACACCAGAGCATCCGCTAACCACCCACAGTCTGAGTAAAGAGAAGTACATCGACCTACTAGTACTTCTCACAAAGTGCTGGAAACCAGCAAGAAAGCTATACAGAAAAGAAAAAAAAAACAGGGAAGAGAAGTAGGACTTACACCTGAGAAAAAAAGAAGGAAAAGCTGACAACTTGAATTTCCACCAACAGCCCACTTGGGAACAAATAAAAGGGCAAGGGAAAAGAAAAACTGCACCATTCTCAGGCCCAAACCAAAATATTTACAGTACTACCTAAATCAAACAAATAAGAGGAAAAAAAATTCAATTACATGGATGAGGCTATTTCAAATGTCGACACGCTTTGACAAAGCATGTTATCGAGTGGAGACTACCACATAACGGGAAAGACAAAAAAGGATTTTAAACAATACAAGACAAGCAGCTCAAACACCTGCTATCAGAAATATCAGAACACATGGGATGGTGCAACAAAATTATCAACAAGCAGTAATAAAAGTCTTATAAGCTAAATGCACAAAACAAACAAACACTTGAATATAGATCCCAACAATGTTGTCAATATCAAGCCACACTGATAGAGACATCGGATTTAGTAGCTACGATCAGACCGCCCCTTGGTATTTTTTGTCTCACAATGAAACTGAAAAGTGAAAGGCCTAGAGCAGAAAGTACTAAAGCCCATTTTGAGTGACTATTATAATGGCTTCGTATATTGTGATCGTTATTTTCCTTCCTAACTTGCAAGCAGAAATTTTCCTGACAAAAAAAGTGTATGAAAATGTGGAATTTAATATGAAAGCCAATCAGAAAGATAAAGATTTCGTTTTACAGTATTTTGATGGGTCACTAGATAAGACAGGGCAAAGTAAGCTGTCTTCATCATGACAACATCAAACTCAAACTACCTTAGAACCTTTTGTTTTCCAAAATCAGAGCAACAATCTACAGGGAGGACTACAACAAAGTTATTCACTTCTCTCAATGCATCATTGCCCAGATATCACTTGCAAGAGCAATCCTATATCAGAGTCAAACTTATGAATCATAAATTTTCAACAATTTCATACACACCAACCAATATCCATTTTATCAAATGAGTAAACAATTCTGAAACATGATCCACTTTTTTAAACATGACATATTCGTAGGCTAAATTTTGGCTTGGAGCTTTTTAGTCAACTGTGACCTCGATTTTCTCTCCCGCCTTGTCTTAACTATCTAAGAATCATAAAAGACAGAAACAAAACCAAAAAAACGGACAGAAATCTATCATAAAAGATAGAAGGATTCTTACAGAAAAAACCTTGCCAAACAGAATGAGTAATAAAAATAATACTACTGCTCTCATTTCTATACAGAGCACATATCCCCGCTCAACAGAAAGCTCTTTACATCTATTATTAACCCAGCAGCCACTAGAACACTAAGAAACATTCTCGGTTTCCCGGGATCCAATATTCTGTACCCACTCCCAACAAAAGTATCCACTTTAAATTCTTTTTTAAGAAGACATCAAAATTGCTAATCACAGCAACCTCATATTGACTATAACATAACCAGTATCTATACCCAAAACAGAAAGGGGCAGCAGAGGGGGGGAAAACAGAGGAGGTCAGAGGGGAAAATCATTTCCTACCACTGGAAACACAAACTGAAAACGAGAGGGAATTAATATTGACATATCTATATTAATGACTATCCCCACATGGTATATGTGATTATAATCGACATTTTAATGTAATCCATATAATCAACAGCATTTACCTTGCTCATTAAACTGGCAGATACACTATCCTATTGCTATTTCAAATTCTTTTTACCACTTCACAGTTGGAAAGGAGAAATTCAGAGAACATTTCCATATATGTGTCATGACACGGTGGAATCAGGCGCCTGTCAATTTTTGGGCATGTGGAGTTATTGGTATCACCTTAAAGCTTTTTCATTTGTCTTGCTTTCGATTAAAAAAAATATCCATTTATCTTGAATACAAATCGACATATTTGTGATTGAAATATATGTGGGGGTCGCCTGGTCTCAGAGGTAAAATTATTGAGAAAATGGCTGTCAAAGTTTAGTCATATCCTTAGCTTGAGAGTCTGTGGAAACAGAAAATTTATATTTTTTCTGCCTTTAATTGACATTTTTCAGTACAATCCACACAGAAACGTGTTCTTAGATTGACATGGAAGATGTTGAGCTAAAAAAATAAAGATTCGATAAAAATTCCCAAAACCTACGAAAAATGCCAATTTCTTCACTTTCATTATTTTGATGAGTGCCTGATTTCACCACGCTGACTCACATATTCTGTCTGCCTCAGTAACTCAGACATTAAGCGTGATACAGGGCTTGACACTCTTTTTCCTCCGTGAGAAAAGCACAGTGTCTATTTCTAGCCTCTTAAGAAAGCTTAAAAAAAACAAAACAGCAGGACAAATAAAGAGGCAAAAACAAGATGTCATTCTTTACATTCAAGCTAGAAAATCAGTCTATTTCCAGCACAGGTAAATTTCTACAAAACAATTGACCGACCGAACAGAATAAATAATTTGCAGATATTTACGAGCAAAAGTAGCAACATTGTTCCAGAGAAAAATTCACAGTTGTTGGCAGGCATGTGGACATATTAAACAAGCAAGTGCTATGAAGAAAATGGGCTCAAGGCACCCAGATGATGCCAGTCGTTCTCGCTGTAAGCATGATATAACACAGCGATGGCAACACCAATCACAGCAGTCACAGTCCACATCGTCATCCGAACAAAAAGCCGACCTCTAGCGTCACTATTTGCTCGAGCCAATCGTCGGGCATTTTGGCTGTCAATGCGATTGAAGTGCTCAAAGACCTCCCTGTTGATATACATCATGATAAGGAATTTTTTTTTAATCTTAAAATATAATCTGGCATTCAGTAGCCTAGTCAACTCTTTCAAATATCACACGTTCAAAATGTACCTTGTGACAGACACCTATAAATACAAAGGATATATTACAAAATGAATTTTGATGTAAACAAGCAAAAACATCTGCATTATCCTCCTTTCCACAATTTAAAAAAAATAATTGTTGATACTTTTCTGGAATATGTGATGCAGGGTTTCTTTTTCTGGGGGGGGGGGGGTTTCTTCTTTTCCCCCTGGCAAATTGAATGTGCGATAAGGCTGGTACTATTAATAAGTACGATAAGGCTGATACTAATAAGAGAAGAGACCGAAATTATATGAAAGGTACTAGGAACACGGTTCAGAAGTAGTGGCAAATGTTACATCAAATGTGATAGTGTAAAGCTTCAACTGACTGTAAATTCGTTGCATTCCCAGTAGTACATTCTAGAGGTTGCTTCAACCATGCCCATCATGGCCAACCAAGGCAAAGTGGAGACTGAATCATTTTATTTCCTATTTCTTTCCTGTGTGACATAATTATTTCAATGAATCAGTAAGCAATAACATATAGCGGTATTTCCAACTTTTATTAACCCCCTTCATTGCCAAGGGGTGTGCATTCCTATGATCAGCACTAAGTTTCAGTGCAGCTTGTTAACAAGTCCAGCAGTCTCATGTATCAGTGTTAGTGGCCTCGCTGTCTACATCTAGCCAACTCGTGACATATAATCAGACCTCCGGTCTTCTGTAGTTTTGGTAAGAGTTTCACGGCACTTGCAACACAATAAGGTCATATAAGTGCCGAAGATTAGAGGTGTTACAAGAGAGTAACTAACACAAAAAAGAAGGAAGGGAGATCAGGGCGATAGATGTTTGATAGGAGAGAAGGAGCAAACCACACCAGAGCACCCGCCAATCACCCACTCTGGTCTTCGATTGGGTCACTTGTTCATATTCCCCATATGACCCATAATTTCGAAAAACTAGCAAATCTAAGTCAAAAAGTGAAATTTGTTGCCTTTTTAAGCAATTCTGGTGTTAAAATTTTGTGAGAGCACTTGCTCGTCCGCAAGACTTGTGATTCCGCATCGCCTGTAAGCCTCGCTTACCACTATGCCCATTCTTTATTCCTGAATACTAACCCACACTGTAGTTGGGGCTTAATCTCTATACAGAAGAATCAAAGCCAGATGAATAGCGGGACATACATGTAAAGTCATATAAGCAAGCAGGAACAGCAAATTTTGTTAACTTTCCTGACATCCATGGTACGGCACAAAGCTGAAAGTTACATATTTCCATGACATACCAGGTGCAGCATGAGGCAATGAAGGGGTAAGTTACGGGTAAAGCTCAAGGTTTTCAACGACTTTATAGCTGCCACAAATCTTTTGCGAACCAAAATGAGAATAAGTACGGTATACTGAAAGCCTGGATCAAAAGAGTTTATAGAGTCTAGCACATGCATTGCAATTTCCTCACCTGTTAAGTCTTATCAACATTGGATCCCGGCTGATTTCTGTTGGAGGATATTGAAGATAAAGATCCCCAGCTCTTTCTAACAAATACTCAATGGGAAGGTCAGAGGGCATTGTTGAAAGACATTTGTGGATATAGCCCATTTCATCTCCTGCATCGAATATGTCCTGTTCCCTATAGAGGACAAACTGAGGGGGAAAAAAGAAGTAAGCATGACGAGGTCTTCAAAATTCAACAAGAGTTGGGATGTACTTTACAGCAAGTCACTATGATCACAAACATTATAAGACAAAGAAGTCTAGGAAAACAGCACCACTGAATAAGAAATAAAGGGAGAAGGCTTCACGACAGCATTCACTAATCACTCATTTAGTTTAGTTTTAGTAAGTGTTTTACGGCACTTGCAACACAATAAGACCATAATATAAGTACCGAAGCTTAGAGGTGTTACAAGAGAGTAACAAACACAAAATAGAAAGAGGGGAGGAAAGGATGACAGATGTTTGATAGGAAAGAAGGAGCAAACCACACCAGAGCACCCAAATCACTCATTGAAAGAAGCAAGCATGACAAGGTCTCCCAAATTCAACAAGGTGTGTGATGTACCTTACGACAAGTCACTATGATCACAAATGTATAAGAAATGGAGGGAGTAGGCTTCACTACAGCATTCACTAATCACCCATTGAAAGAAGTAAGCATGACGAGGTCTTCAAAATTCAACAAAGTGTGTGATGTTCTTTACGACAAGTCACTGTGATCACAAATACATTTTGCAACAAGGTAGACTAGGACAACAGTAACACTGTATAAGACATAGAGGGAGTGGGCTTCACTACACCATTCACAAAGAGAAAAACAATTCACAAGATTTCAGTAAAAGATACAGCAGACACATTTCTCTAACTAAGATTTTACCTTGTGATCAAAAACAAAATGATACACAACAGAAATGTGAGTTGAGAAACATTGAGAAAGCAGTCTTTCCAATCTGAGTAACTAAAGTAAAAATATTTTTTTCAACTAACAAGAAAGACAGTTTAAAAGACAAAAGTGAACAGTTTTACAGACAGAGATCAACCAAATCAATAGTACATCCTCTTATCTTATGATAGAAGCGGGTAACATTATCATATGTATGAAAAAATTCCCCCCCACCCCCGGTCTCCCAAAAAAGGCAGTGGAACACACCTACCTTCCAAAACCTGCACAAGCAATATTTTTACTTAATGCCCACCATTGCAGGCATGTACACTGCATAAACATTTATTTCTCAAGATTTGAAAAAAACCCACACCAGAAAGCAGTCACGAACACAGCAAAGATGCGAGAGGTTTTCACATTTGGAAAAAAATCATTCTCCTGACATCTGTGATTTAAAAAATGCCTGTCGTTCCGCTACACACTACAAGTAATAGTAAAGTAGAATTCCCTATTTTGAAGCGCTTGACCTAGAGTGCAACACCCAAGGTGACAGTGGCTCTGAAGTGATGTCTCTCAGGAAAATGAAGCAACATGACGTTATCATTCAGATACGCAAAGACAGAGAGGGTGATGCATTACTTTTAGCATGTCAGTTTTAGTTTTAGTAAGTGTCTTACAGCACTTGCAACACAACACAATAAGGTCATATAAGTGCCGAGGATAAGAGGTGTTACAAGAGAGTAACAAACACAAAACAGAAGGAGGGGAGATAAAGACGATAGACGTTTGATAGGAAAGAAGGAGCAAATCATACCAAAGCACTCGCTAACCACCCACTTTATCATGTCAGATTACTTACGGCTGCAGACAGATACACAGGCATCATCCGGTGAGAGGCTAAGAAAAAGTCAAAGACTCTCATGATACGCTTGATGTCCCCTAGGACATGGCTGAACCAGGTGATGACCCAAGACAGAGCAAAGATTGTGCCAAGGTCATTTCTATAGAAAAGAAAGAAAGGTAACTAAAGTCATACACTACTCGTAAGTACATTTTGACTGTCGAAACAAGTCTTTTAGCTTCAAAATTATGCCTTCTTTGCCGGAACAAAGAGAAGCACATCGACACAATAATTGCCATGTAATGCTAGAAGAAAACAAGACTAAAGAGACAGAAACAACAGAGGGAGAAAGAGTATTTTAGTTTTAGCAAGAGTTTTACGGCATTTGCAACAGAATAAGGTCATATAAGTGCCGAAGATTAGAGGTGTTACAAGAGAGTAACAAACATAAAAAAGAAGGAGGGGAGATAGAGACGATAGATTTTTTATAGGAAAGGAGGAGCAAACCACAGCAGAACACCCGCCAACCAACCACACAAAGAGTATAGAAGAACTAAAGTCTACCAGTTGTACCTCACAACCACCTGCATAATTATCAGCATACTGTTGGAAAGTTTTACATAAAGGTCAGCTTTAAAAAATCTGCATTTTATGAATAGATTTATGGCAACTGAACTTCAGAAAAGAAGTAGAATGAGCAGATCACAACGGAGTATCTACTAAACAACAATCTTTTGGATAAGATGACTGACAAAAATAGCTGTTCTTACATCATGGGCACCTTACATTCAGAAATTTTGCAAGGAGTAACAAACTTAAAGATATCAAATTTGTTGTTGCAAAGAAAACAGGCTACACCCACCACTTAAAGACCACACACAAGCAAAACGCTTACATCCTGCCTTAAGTAGAAAAGATGGCACAGTAAGACCGATAAAAGAACTTAAACAATGTGCTATTAGGGAATCATTTTCACAAATTGTTATCACTTTCAAGAAAGTCAACTTTCCATCTATTTTACACTGACACTTCTATTGGCAACAAATTGTTCTCAATTTTCAATTTCTTGAAAGTCAACATTCAATTTGAATCACACAGACACTCTTTACACAAATTTATATGAAACATTTTTTAGCGCTCTTGAAACACATTTACGATTATTATTTTTTTCATCAGTGTAAAAAATACATCAATATTCAACAGCATAGGAGATACAGTACCGTTGCATATGTTCACACAGCTCAGGATTGCACTTATTGACCAGCGGGTAGATGGTATTAAGCAAAAGAGAAGTTCTCTCCATTGTATCATCCAGGTACTCTCTGAGAATACACAAAGGAAAGCATAATTAAATGTTTACTCTTTGAGAACAAATGGTCGCTTTTAAGCACAAGGGGGCTATCCCGAAAAATGCTGTTCTGAGAAAATTGAAGGTAAAGTTTTTCCCCCTTATTCAGTTTCTTTAAAAAACAAGGACAGTTTTCTCTATAACCAAACAAAAATACACACCAATGAAACCAAACTACTATAGGTAGGGCAAGGCCCACTTTTGGTATAGGTCAAGATTTCTGGAAACCCCAGAAATCCAGGTTAGCCCGCTTGTCCTTAAAAGCGACCAAATGAGTAATGTATTTCACATCAGGAAATTGCAGTTTCGGAAGGATACATCGGCAGAATTTAACATAGTATGGTGAGGATAAAAAATGGCCAAATAGTACTGCAAAGTCAAATTGGGGGGGGGGGGGGGGGGGGGGGGGGGGACCTCAAGATTTAATTTCCATCTTTGATAGGACCAAGCAAAGCAGGTGGATAGCCAGGAAAACTCCCGAAACAGTGTAAGTTTAAAAATTTCCAATCACCGTTTTGAACTAGCTTCAACTTCCATTGACTCCAGCATGACACCTACTGAACAAACTCGCAGAATTTCACAATCCTTTTGTCTCGGTAAGGTCATTTCACAAAGACAGTTGTCTCCACCCACAATAATCCAACGCTAATCATTATGTTTCACATAAATCCCACTTTTCTCAAACTACATAGGAAAGAGTGTGCAATTGTGTGTGTGTGTTTGGGGGGGGGGGGGGATATGGGTAGGTACAAGGACTAAAAGGGATGGACTTCAAGTGTTTCAAGGCTCAGATTGGATAATTGCAGTAAATTCTTATCTATTTTATTGATCTTATCTCAATATTTCTTTATTCAGTACAGGGGAATTTCGCTTTGCTCATTACTATTCTTTTCAATATCATGACCTAAAGATAAAGTACTAGATCTTAAACGGGTGTCAAAACTCACTAAAATATTGACATACCTCATATATGACATTGCCAACTTCTCCACCATCGCAAACGCTAGATCCTCATCCATGCACAGGAGGAATGTGATACAAACATCATGAAAGCCCTACAGAGAAGAAAAAAACGTAAAACATTTCAAACAAATTTTGCTCAGAAACAAGGTCCACAAAGTCCTTTCCTTAATGGCATAAGTACAAAACTAGCTTGGAGTCACACACACACTAGAGCTGGGTCGCGAGCGCGAGAACGGAATTGAATCGCCACTCTTCCCTGTGGAACGCGATTCACGATTCACTTCAGCGGAACGCGGAACAGTATCACCTTCCAATTCCCGATTCACTCCCCTGTCGCTGCTTGTTTGTAGCTCTATCTGATCCATAGGCCTAGTGCTGCTGGTATGTCGCGAGCGCCAGAACGGAACATGAAACTGAACAGTTAGCACGACTCCCCTTATTTTACAAAAGATGGTATAGTTCAACCCCCCTATTAAAACAAAATGAACGGGTTCCAACCAATAGACAGAAGGAATTTTATGGAGTCATTGTCTTAGCGAATCATGGGATGTGGGGGGGGGGTTGAATTTATGGGGTCGCTAAATGAGGTCAGTAGAGGAGCGCAACGAAGG